GGTAAGGATAAATAATTATAAGTCGTATCCGAACTATTTGCACCCCTATTAACGATATAGATTAAGCTAACATAATCTTAAGAAACAGATTGGTAAGGATAAATAATTACGCGTTGTATTTTGGCAATATTATAGTTTTAACCGGGTACACATTAAAGTTTCAAACTCTGGTAAGAATCATTTTATCCAACTGTTTAAAGTTTTAGACACTATAAAGGACAAATTTTCAAAACCAACCTATTTGATGATTTAATTGCAAAAAACGACCCGTTTCATATTTATTTAGAGAAACCGACCTGGTTTCAGCACTGTCGCTGAAACCAGGTCGGTTTTTCTAAAAAACTTTACGAAACTTCACGGGAGTTCAACTCCCGTGAAGTTTTTTCTCATAACAAAACTTCACGGGAGTTGAACTCCCGTGAAGTTTCGGAAGACCTCCCCCTCACCTCGGTTCTCTCTCCCCGCAACCGCCCCAAACCCTAACCTCTCTCCGCCGCCGTCCATGTCGTTTCCGACCCCAGCCCCCCAAATCCGACCGCCGGCCATTGATTCCGACCGCCAGCACTCCATTCCGACCGTTTGCCCTTGATTCCGACCGCCGGAACAGTCAAGTTCGCCGGATTTCGACAATTTGAGGGTAAATTCCACCCAAAATTAGATTTTCTCTTAATTTCTTGTATTTTCTCGCTATTTAATGGTGATTACATGTAAAAAAAATTATATTTTAGAATTAATTTGTAAATTTTTTATGATTTATGTGAAGAAAACTTAAATAATTTTGTCGATTTAGAGGGTAAATTATCAATAATGTAAAAAATAGTGTTACTACATATGTATGACATCTAATTTATTTAAAAAAAATTGTGTTATCAATAATTTTGTCGATTTTAGAATTTCATTGTGAATAAGTTATGAAATTAGTGCTATATGACATCAATTAAAAAATCTAAAAATTAGTGCTATATGACATCAATTAGATTTGAGAATTTAATTGTGAATTTTATGAATTATGTGAAGAAAACTTAAATTATTTTGTCGAGTTAGAGGGTAAATTATCAATAATGTAAAAAATAGTGTAAAAATTAGTGTTTGACATCGGTATATGAATCGGTATATGAATTTGTAAAAAATTATGGTTCCCTAAAATTGATATAGGATTTAATTTTAAGTAACAATAAATTTTTAGAGTCTTTTCGTGTAATATTGATCTTGATTGTTTTACTCTTCAGAGGTAATGATGAATGATCAAATCATAATTTTGTGTTTGTATGATGGGAAGATTAAATACCTCGAAAATAATATGCCCGTTTATGAAGGAGGTACGACGAGACCATTGTTTATAACAAAATCGTGTACTTTCGATGAGTTGGTTAATGAATTGCACAAACTTACATTAACCAACTCACGTGAGTATCACCTTAATGTTATTTGCAATTATCCTGTCGTGGAGAACAGGACAAGCGGCATTCAAATATCAAGTGACTACGATATGAGTCTAATTGGAGTCTTACATGACGAGAAGCGTTCGATTGAATTGTTCATTGAAAAACATCAAAGGAATTTGGGCAAATCGTTGAATTATGATGGAATGTATTCCCGCATGTTGGAAGACCCTGATGTTAATTCCGTTGGCTTTTTATCTCCTCAACAAGATGAAGGTTGGACACAATCACAATATATGAGTGGTCCTTCGCTTGTGGGCACTTCGAATGCGGTCGATACTAACATGGGAGTTCAAGAAGATAATGCAAGTGTTGAATCTAATAATGATGATGAAGATGAGGGCTTACAAATTGATAGCATGACCTTGATAGATCGTGATGAAGGGGACAACCACCACATTGACGGGTGTTATGCTAATAATGAGTATGTTGTCTTAGAGGATCCGCCGCCCGATGAACTTCAAGGAGAAGAATGGATCGATAACTCCGTGATGGAAAGTGTTCCTATTGGCACTAATAGCGGTCATGATACACAGGGTGAGGACTTCTCATTCATGAAGGGAGATCTATATGAGAGCAAGGAGAAATTGATCCATGCGCTTCGCTCGTACGCCATTGCAAAAAATGTTAAGTTTAGGCCAACAAAAAATAATACTACAAGCTATAATGCGGTTTGTTTCTATCGCAAAGATGGCGATGATGAAGATATTAGTGGACACCACGACGGCAATGCGAAATGTCCGTGGAAGCTTAATTCACGCTCTGGTGTAAGAGTAGGCGGGCAATTCAAAATCACGGCATACAACGGACTCCACACTTGTAGCAATCCTCGATTAGAGATGAATAACAAGAATGCATCCTCTTCCTTCATATATCGATTGATTTTACCGCATCTGAGGGAGGATTTTGATCTAAGGCCGAAAGATATTCGTCTTCTAGTGCAAAAAGCCACCAACTTGGATGTATCATATCACAAGTGTTGGAATGCTAGGAGGAAGGCGATGATAAAAATATTCGGTGATTGGGATAAATCGTATGAGATCTTACCTCATTATCTTGAAGCACTCAAAAGAGAAAATCCAGGAACTGTCTACGAAGTATCTTCGGACCCCGTTGATGGCGGAGATCGGCGGTTCACCGGTGTATTTTGGGCATTTGGGCCATGTATTGAGGGGTTTCGATATTGTCGTCCTCTTCTTAGCATTGATGGCACCCACTTATACGGCAAGTACAAAGGAGTTTTGCTTGTTGCCACCGGAGTTGATGCGGATGGCGGTTTGTTTCCTTTGGCGTTTGCAGTGGTTGATATTGAAAACACAGAGAATTGGGCGTGGTTTTTTGCATGCATTAGATATCATATCCCTAGTGTGGGTGCGCGGCCGATTACATTCATATCTGATAGGATGAAAGGAATTCCAAGAGCACTCCAACGTCATTTCCCAGAGCCACATGCACATCGTTATTGCTTGCGACATATTAGGGACAACTTCAAGAAGAAATTTGGAAACGGTCAGGTTCAAGATCTTCTTTGGCAAGCCGGATGTGCAACAGAAAAATTAGTTTATGACCAAATACGAGAGAGGATTAAGTTTATCTCCCGAGCTGCACATGATTGGATCGAAACTAGTTTGGGACCACACAATGTTGATAAGTGGGCTTTATGTGAAGATGGCGGGAGACGGTTCTGTATGATGACTACGAACGCTTCAGAGAGTTTCAATGGCGTGCTCAAGGGAGCACGCGGTATGCCAATACAATCACTAGTTGCTAAAACATTCTACAGACTTAATAACTTCTTTCTACGACGTCGCGAACTTGGTGAAAATATCCGCTCGGAGCTCACACCGAAAAATGATGAAATGTTAGCGGCTCGGATTGTACAAGCTCGATCCTTTCATGTCGTAAGATACAGTTTTAATGAATGGGAAGTCATTGAGGGAATATCACATAGAGAAAATCGCTCTTATAAAGTTAACATGTTAGTGGATCACTCGTGTACGTGCACTTGCAACGTACCGCAATTACAATGGATTCCTTGTTCACATGTTGTCGCGGCTTGTTCTGATCTACAAGGTGGTGCGAGGATTTCACACTATGAGTTCGTCGAGGCTTGGTATTCTACTTACAACTATCGACAAACATACAAAGAGTGTTTTCGTCCACCATATGATAGTCGATATTGGACACAAGACGGGCCACTGATATTGCCTCCTTTGTATAAAAGGTCGGCGGGGCGCCCTCGTTCCGTACGAATTAGAAATTGTATGGATGACGGTCGTGAAGGAGTTAGGAGGAGAAATAAGTGTAGTAGATGCGATCAACCGGGCCATAAGAAAAATAATTGTCCAGTTAGGATTAGGCGTTGATGTTGTAATTTGTAGCGGTTTCGATCTGTGTTTTCTTCCGTATGTCATTTGTGATTGTTAAATGCTAGGGGTTTCGTTCTGTGTTTTTTTCCGTGTGTCATTTGTGACTGTAATTTGTAGCGGTTTCGTGAGTTGTTTGTTTTTGTATCTCATTTGTGATTGTAATTTGTATCGTTTCGTACTATGTTATATAAATTTAATGTTTGGTTTCAAGTTATTGCTTTCTTCACGTTGCGCATTCGTTTGTTGTTTATATATAACTAGATGAGTATTTTAACAAAAAAGATCTAACACATTGAGCATTGTCTTCTAATATAATTCTCAGTTATATTCATTATGGATCCGGGACCGAGACGCCCCGACGTTTTGACCCTCCAGGCGAGCCACGTTTCAGATTATATTGGCTCAGGACAGGTAAAACATCTTTTGTGATATGCTAGTTAGCATTGGCACTAATTTTAATTTTTCACTTTATACTTAATCAATTCTTTTTTGACGTGCAGCCCGTACCTGATATCACCATGATCGAGCATTCACAGAGCCATTCATCTTGGGTCATTGAGGATGAGAGAGTTCTAGCGCTGATCTCTCAGGCTGGTTTTCGGGAGTGCTCGACGGTTCGATATATCAGGCTTGATTGGCCGCTTATCGCTGCTTTGATTGAGAGGTGGAGGCCAGAGACCAACACCTTTCACATGCATATAGGGGAGTGCACGATCACTTTACAGGACGTGGCCGTCATTCTTGGGCTCCGGATCGATGGGCTGCCAGTTACGGGCACCGATGATCATAGTTGGCCTGAGGTATGTACCCGGCTTCTTGGACAGGTTCCCGACTTGAGGAGTGGTGCGATGAAGCTATCGTGGCTTCGTCAGACATTTCAGGGCGATATACCACAGGATGCCGATGATGATACGCTCTAGTTTCATGCTCCTGCATACATATTGCACATGATAGGGTGCGTGCTTTTTTCGGATACGAGCAAGACTCTCGTACATGCACGATGGCTGCCACTGCTGGAGGATTTTGGTGTATGCGGCGCACTATTATTTGTATCGAGAGTTGAGTAGAGTATCCCTGATGCAGAATAAAGAATTCAAGGGATGCTGCACATTGATACAGATTTGGTCATGGGAGCGCATTCATATTGGACGCCCTACTTTACTCGTGCACCGTGACCTACAGGGGCAGTATCCTTTGGCGTACAGGTATAATTGTACACAAATTTTATTCACACTGAATTTGTACTTATATATTCTCTATTCTGCATATAGGTATAACGTGCGGTACGCTAAGTACCGATCAGCGACGCGCCATCGTGAGTTTTACCGAAATGAGCTTGATGGTCTCCAACACGAACAGGTAAATATAAATCTCAAGTCGTTATGAATATTATAGTTTTGTTGTTGATACTGATAAATTTTTTATTTTATTTCAGTTCAAGTGGAGACCCTATACACTGCCGGAGCTAGATATGCATTCTCTTGCACCCATCTGCCGAGATAGTCCCGACTTGTGGAGAGCGAGAGTTCCATTGATTTGTTGGGAGATCGTGGAGATGCATGTCCCTGACCGTGTGCTACGACAGTTTACGCTCTCTCAGCATGTACCAGATCCTGTTGAGCAGATCTCTCGTCGGCGGCGACCTACTTCGCACCATAACGACTGGGCCGTAGTCCGTGCGGCCTACATAGACAGGTGGGCTCACAGGTGGGATTTCATCCAGGATACGAGGCCCACGGCTGTTGACTACACCGCATATATGGGTTGGTATTGGGATATCACACGTAGATGGATCACACGTGACCCACAGCCCTTAGCTGGACACATGCCACGGCCACCGACAGACAGTTACATCCCTAGTGGGATGAACGAGAGAGATTACGTAAGTTTCTAAGCTAAATTATAATATTTTTTTTCTTGAGTTGGTACTTAATAAATTATTTACCTCACAGGTCCATGCTTTGGATAGCATTCCGACTGATATTGATGCGACCGTGCCTGAGATTCAGGATCAGGTGGCGTTAGGGCTCCTCGGCAGGATCAAGAACAGCCGGATACTCAGATAGTCGAGGCTCATCAGCGCGGGGGGCGGGGAAGAGCGAGGGGGAGGGGGAAGAGAGGGAGAGGAAGGAGAGGAGCTATATTGGGTTGTATTTGAACTTATTTTGTTAAAATTTGTAAATTGTATGAATTTTCAAATACTATACTTTTATGGATCAATTATAGCTCGATATGTGATCTTTTTGCGTATTGTTTGATTCGTGCGTGTTTAAATAATATATATATTGCAGTAATTATTGTCAACAGGTAAATAGTTGTATATATGAGTTAAATAGGTAGATGTATGCATGCTGTGCATGTTTTTTGTAAAACCTGCAACTTCACGGGAGTTGAACTCCCGTGAAGTTGCAGTGCAAATTTCCCAGAGAGCGATTCTCTGGGAAATTTGGCCTGTAACTCCACGGGAGTTCAACTCCCGTGGAGTTTTAACAATAGAACAAACTCCACGGGAGTTGAACTCCCGTGGAGTTTATTGAGGGTAATAAATTTCACGGGAGTTCAACTCCCGTGAAGTTTAAAAACATACTAAACTTCACGGGAGTTGAACTCCCGTGAAGTTTCGTAAGTTTTTTTAGAAAAACCGACCTGTTTTCAGCGACAGTGCTGAAACCAGGTCGGTTTCTCTAAATAAAACTGAAACGGGCCTTTTTTTGCAATTAAATAATGAAATAGGTTGGTTTTGAAAATTTGTCCACACTATAAATGATCCTTAAAAGTGAAGTGAAAATGATTTGACATTAAGATGACGACGAGAAAGCCATTGCTCATGCGTCCAACTTATCATTGAACTTCTCATTGTGCATTAGGTAATGAGTAGTAATCCAACCAAAGTCGTAAAGTTTTTTTTTTATTTAATATACAACAAAAATCAAAGTGTAAGCACGTTGTTGAGATGATTACATTAGGATAAAAAAAGAGGTTATGTAAAAGTGAGCTCCCCCACTAATCAACCAACTCCTCACTCTCTGCCGCTAACTCTTCCTTGATTAAAGAGAGGTTATGTAAAAGTGAGCTCCCCCACTCCTCAACTAACTCCTCCTCATTCTCTGCCGCTAACTTTTCCTTGATTACCTTTTTTTTTTCTTTACTGAATTTCTGTTATACTAAACCTCCAAATCTCTGTCTAGTTTATAGCAGACCCATAAATTTTCATATCCAAATTACACCCCTAATCTATCAAGTTTTTTTTTAAACAGGACGCAAATCCATTAAATTATTTTAGATTAGACCTTCAAATATATTAAGTTGTTTTAATAAGACTCCCATTTCAAACAATTATAAAAATTTGCCTTGGCAGCGCAATCTTAATTCACCATCTCACATTTTTTTAATGGTATCTATTTGTCTTGGCAACGCAATCTTAATACATCATCTCTCGTTTTGGGTGGTTGGTAGCTTGGTAAGTGTAACGAAATAGAGCACACAAGTTTGTACACTAAAAATCCAAAGTAGATAATCAACTACTTTGTTTAAGCCAAAGGAGATCCAGCAAAGAGATGCTAAATTCAAAAATATCTTGCTATCTTAGCACCTACGTGCAATGATTCAGTAGCAACAAGATGATTTCATATCCTACCAACTATAAAAAGGCCTTATGATGCTTTCGAATAGAATTCGTATGCTAAATTCATCCATTGACATAAACCTCACCCTGGTTCATAGTAGAAAATATTAATCTATTTCATCGACATAATCAGTTCGTGATTAATCATAATTAATTTGACAAAAGAACATATCATAACGTCTTAAATTGATTTTGTTAAGTCAATTTTTGGCTTAAATCAAAACAATTTCTTAGATGCTCTATGAGCAGTATACCACACCAACAGGAGGAGGGCGTGCGATATAAAAAAGTTATTTAATCCAACCACTCTCTTATTCGGAAGTGATTTGTGCCACAGTCTTTTTCAATTGATGCGATGTAATACTCATAGAGTGCTGCTACGGGGACCCAAAATATGGGACCAAGGAAGGGGACAGATGAGGTATCCCCTCCCTATTGCATAATGAGTTGACATGAGTTGGCATGACCAACTCATTATGCAATAGGAAGGGGACACCTCACCTGTCCCTCTCTTGGTCCCATATTTTGGGTCCTTAAATCATTTTCCAATACTCATAATAGAACAAACACATTGAGTTTTTCATAAAACAACTTCACAATTAACAACTCACTTTGTATAATTTCTCAACGGGTCTTGAAGAAAAAGTCAAAATCAATGGTGGAGTTAAAGCTAAACTGATTAACAAATTTTGACTCAGTTTCCCCCTCAAAAATACCACAAATTAGAGAGAAATGATGGTTAAACTCTTGGGTGCTGAAGTTTCTACGTGCATCAACACGTACCAGCTGAAGCGTCCACAGCAATGGGAGCGCACAATCACGACAAAACAACGGCTAGAGAACAGATAAGAAAACGTTAGTAACTCCAATTTACCAACAAGACCACCTATTTTTATCAAATTAACGGATATACCATTCAGCAGACAGCGGATAACGCCACGACAATGGCAAACCCCGTTATTAAAACGGAAAACCATGTCTTGAACAATAACAGCTTTCCCTTTCGGGGGTAAATAAACAACTTTTAAACACTCTTTTAATCACTAAAAAAAGGAAAACAAATTCAAGAAAAAGTTGTAGATCTCTTGCGGGCGGGTCCAACGATCAGAAAATTTGAATTTTTGTTGAAGCAAACCCTGAGAAAGTATTTTTTTTTTCTTTTCTTACAAGGCAACGGACTCCTTTTTGGAGCTTCTAGGGTTATAATTCCCTCCTCGTTTCTCACAAAAAGATCCAGTCTTTTCAACTTTTTTTTTGGTACGATTGCTAGCATATCACTTAGATTACAGCTCCAGATCCACGCGATTTGGGTTTAGGGTTTCGAATTGTAGGAAATCGTTGAGGTGGTCGGATTAGGGTTTGTAGGATCCGATGCTGGTGGCTCCGCCGATGGGTCCCAGCGTTGTGAGGACTCGGAGCTCCTTGGAGGTGATGTTGGATTCTTTGATGAAGAAGGATGAGGAGAAGCCGGAGGATTTAATGCCGGCTTTGCCCGCGAGGCCGATGTCAAGAGGTCGACGGCCGTCCTTTAAGAGATCGTTGCTGCCGGTCATTTTGGATACTGAATGTAGTAATGGGTTTAAAAAGAAGAAAGAGGAGATGGATGCATATTCGGAGATGCCGGAGTTAGAGAGCTATGAGGAACGGAGATCGGAAGGAGTCGGGGCTCCGCAGCCTTCTACTTCGCCATCGGATGGGAAGAAGTTCAATTGTGCTCTAATAAAGGTATTGCCTTTGATTGATTTCTGTTTAGAATTTTAATTGTTGTTGTTTTTATAGATGATGATTGTAGAAATTTTTATTATTTCTTAACAGTAATGGGTTGATGAATTATCAGAAGTAAGAATGTGGATCAGTTTATTATATATTTTAAATTGTATGCTTTTCTCATGCACGTTTGTTTGAGTTTATCAGTTGGTAGAAATTTTATTGTTCTCATGCATTTTTTTTATATTGGTAAACAAGGGTATAGGTAATTGGGCTTTAGATCATTAATTGTAAGGAAAACATTGATATGTCTTTGGTTTATGCATTTTCCTGTGCTCCATAAATAATGAGGCTATTAGTGGATTTTTGGTTTTCTATTGAGCTTGTTCTTATTTTAGGGTATGGAATATGAGTCTAGAGAGGTAATGATTCGATTATCAAATGTATAAAAATATCTGGTTTGCACTGTAAGTTATATTTCTGATTTGGTCATCATTGTCTCATGGGGCCTTCCCAGTGTTAGGGTTTTGCTTCATTGGCGGTGCTGTTTGGCATCAAAGACTACCATCATGATTACGTTGATGCTGATGCTGATAGGATGTGAATAATGTCAAACTTTTGACTGATTTGTCGGATCAGTAGCGATACTGCAGACATTCACAGTTTCCTTCACTGACAATACTGCAACCATGTGGGATTTTTTTGACAGTTTTTGCAAGTTTCTCACCCATAACTTCCTTGAGTGTTTCCAACATTTGGCCAACCTTTTCCCATGGAGCCTTCTAAATATTAGAGCCGGGCTTCATTGCCATTGCCATTTGGCAATTAAGACTTCTATCATGGTTATGTTGATGCTGACAGAGCCGGGCTTCATTGCCATTGCCATTTGGCAATTAAGACTTCAATCATGGTTATGTTGATGCTGACAGTGATGTAAAACGTTGGGCATCAAAGAATTCTATTGTGATTATATTGATGTTGACGCTGACAATGATGTGATCCATATGAACTTTTGGACGGATTTATCTGATCAATAGAAATACTGCGACAATTAGTAGCTTTCTCAGCACAATTTTATTTGGAGTGAATTCATTGTATCTCATGCAGGCTGGATCCTTTATCTTTTATGATTTACTTTATCTATGATCCAGAAAATTAATCTATTTATATCCTATGTGAAAACCTACTGTTTCATTGTAACTATTGTTTTTCCCTCCTATTTCATCGTCTTTATTTCTGTATCTGCTGTAATTATTATCTGCAAAGATATTGATTTTTTTTTCAGGATCTCCGTGTCTGGTGTCATCATAGAGATGCTAAGTGGGAGTTGGGGAAGATCCAATCAGTTTCAGGAGATGTTACTCATGTCAAATCCTCTAATGGGAAAGTAAGTGTTAAAGTTTCTAGCTTTCAAGGGACATGGTTTCAGTGATAGGAATTGAGCTTAACAATAGTCAAGTACTTGTTTCATGTGTCTCTGCTCAGGTTTTGGCAGTGCCAACTGAAAATATATTACCTGCAAACCCAGATGTCCTTGATGGTGTTAGTGATCTTATCCAGCTCAGTTACCTTAACGAACCTTCTGTTATTCAAAATCTTCAGTACAGATATTCTCGTGACATGATTTATGTAAGAATAATGAACTAGTTTTCTTTTAGCTTTTTTAAGTCTATTATCTTCATTAATTACCTTGTGCCATTTTGCCGTGTAGACCAAAGCAGGTCCCATTCTAGTTGCTCTGAATCCATACAAGGAGGTGTCCCTTCATGGGAGTGATTTAATTGCAGCTTACAGGCAGAAGAGACTTATTGACAATCCACATGTCTTTGCAATGGCAGACACTGCTTACAGTGAAATGATGAGAGGTTACCACTATTTTTTCATTGGCAATAATATTTCCTAAGCAATTTTATGTGTTTTGAAACAACTCAAAGATGGTTTCCAGATCATTTATAGTATTTACTTTGTGGATTCTGCAGATGGGAAAAAACAGTCAATCATTGTAAGGTAGTTAAGACTTCAAGTTTATTAGACAGGCATAGCAGTCTTTTTGTAGTAGTTACTTTTGCTTCTACCACGATCATTATATAGTTTGATGATGATTAAATTATTTTGACTGCAGTGGTGAAAGTGGATCTGGGAAAACTGAAACAGCAAAATTTGCAATGCAATATCTTGCAGCTGTTGGTGGTGGCAGTGGTATAGAGGAGGAGGTTCTGCAGACCAATTTGATATTGGAGTCATTTGGGAATGCAAAAACATTAAGAAATGACAACTCTAGCCGATTTGTGAGTTCTAATCCTGAATTTTCAAATAGTAAAAGGATAAACTGAATTCGCAACTTATTTACTTTTCATCTTTAATGCGTCTACGCTCAATTTCTCTATAATGAATGATTTTTTTGTAATTTATTTAGATATCTGAATTGTAGTTTCCCCCTCTCACCTATGCAGGGAAAACTAATTGAAATAAATTTTAGCAAAGCGGGGAAAATATGTGGTGCTGAGATCCAAACTTGTAAGCATGTCGTAGTTAGCTTGTGTTTTACTTTGTTACTATATTGGTTTATATCAGCTGACTGGTTTCATCTACTTTGTGTTACACAAATTTCCTGCCAAGCAGTTTTACTTGAGAAGGTATTTCAATTGTGGTTTAATCTTAAATCTAGCTGCAGTTTGTCATGCATAGTTTAATAAATTTTGTTTTTACGTGCAGTCAAGGGTGGTGCAGAGAGCAATTGGAGAAAGATCGTATCATGTTTTTTATCAACTTTGTGCAGGAGCTCCGATTCATCTTAAAGGTGTTCTATATCTAATATTTTGAGTGTCAAATAGCTTAATTTTGGGTGATCAAGTACGGATTAATATCTTTCTCTAAAAGAATTTTCAGTTGAGATTAGATACTAAGTTACTGGTTCTTTTACAACTAATAAGGTATCCTTACTTGTCCAAAGTGATTGTGGCTATTCTTTTTGAAGCTCTATCTTCCTTTCTTTTTGAGCTATTGGAAGTCCAACTTTTGGGTTTTATTAAAATTAAAAAACAATAAATAATGACAATGCTTCTTTTAAAATGCTTCTGCTGAACCTGCGACGTACTCAAGCAAGCCAAACAATATGACTTTTCAAATCCTTTATTAATTTCTCTAGAAGTATAGACCTTCATTTTTTGTGAATGAGCATAATTTGCAAGTTCTTCCTTATTCCTAAGAACGCTTATGACTCTATCAAACGAGTCTTTCTGATAGCAAGTAGCCTGTGATCATGTATCCCCCCCCCCCCCCATATTTATCAAGTTAATGAATGACTTAATTTAATGTGATCTACAGAGAAATTAAACCTGAAAGCAGCTAATGAATACGAGTATTTGAAGCAGAGCAACTGCTTGACAATTACTGATATTGATGATGCTAAAAGATTTCACATGTTGACGGTAATTTACTAGAATTTCCTATTATTGCATTGCTCTCCGAGGATTCTTTACTGCTGTCTTGTATTCCTATTGTTTCTTTGTGTAATGTTTTCCCCGCTTCCCCTCACCTTGCATCTTTCCAGGAAGCTTTAGATATTGTTAAAATCTGTAAGGAAGATCAAGAGAACGCGTTTGCTATGCTTGCAACAGTGCTATGGCTTGGAAACATCGGCTTCTCAGTGATTGATGAGGAAAACCATGTAGAAGTTGATATGAGTGAAGGTATGGAATATTTCATGCTTATTCATTGCATGAGAGAAGGCCTTTGAGATTATTTTCACTGGATCTATACACAATTCAGCCTACAATACTGCCAAATGTTTTCCGTCTGCATGGTTAAACGCTTCTATAATGTGCTAAATGGTTTCCGACATTAATTTATAATATTCTCTATTATTGCGGATTCAATTTCTTTGAAGAACAAAACAGCATCTTGAATTTGTACATTAGATGAGCAACATTATAAAAGGTTAGCTGGAGAGGCTGCAGGTATCCTAATATAATAAATATGTTGAAACTCAAAACAAATGCTATTATTATCTAGGAATAAGCACAGTTCGGTATTCAAGAAGGTCGATTACAGAGTACTTAGCTATCCTGCTCTTAACTACACTACCATTTTTTCTTCATTGATTTTCTCTTAAAAAATGGGTTATGTTTATCATTTAGTTTAAGTTATCATCTATTAGTCCAATATAACAATTGTGCCTACTTACCATGGTACAAAAATTATGTGCTAAAAAGTTAATGATTCACTAATTAATATTTGAATTCTGAGATGTTAGGGCATAGTGCCAACGATTGACTTTCTCAGTAATGTTAGGGATGATTATAATTAGTTTTTCCCTCTCTTCTGGATGAATGCGTAAAGCCTAAACAAAAAGTTACTCTTTGGAAGAGACCGGGAGAGGGAGAATTTGAAAAAAAACTAAGTGGGCAGGAGAGAATTTCTAAGATGTTCTGCAGTCTGGGCCTTAACATTCTACTTGCTGTATGAAAATTATAGACCTCCAATCTAGTAAAAGTTTTGAAGAGACTGGGAAAGCGAGAAATTGAGAAAAAACTAAGTGGGCAGGAGAGAATTTCTAAGATGTTGCACAGTCAGGCCCTAAATATTCTATTTGCTATATGAAAGTTATAGCTATGAAGATGTACATAAATGAAGTATTTGGTGATAATGTCAATCATTTTAAATTGTTAAATTATGAGGTACTCATTTAGATTGTCAATAATTTTGATGTTCCTTGGTCTTGGACGCAGCTAATGATATCATTAGGCTTTTTTCTATGCTTCAATATTAACAAAAGATGTGGTGCTCACATAATTTCTATGCAGGCGTAACTAATGCAGCAAAATTGATGGGTTGCAAAGTTTCTGATTTGATGATGACTTTATCAACGAGAACACTTCAAACAGGAAGTGAAAATGTTATCCAAAAGCTGACATTATCACAGGCATGCCATTTTCTTTTGCTATATATAGTCACCTTCTACCTTAATACGTGTGGAACTTTTTATTTACTTGTTTCTTTTCTCCACAGGCAATTGACACCAGGGACGCTTTGGCAAAATCATTATATGCAAGTTTGTTTGACTGGCTTGTGGGACAGCTGAACAAGTCGCTTGAAGTAGGGGATTACTATGCAGGAAAATCCATTAGCATCTTGGATATCTACGGATTTGAATATTTTCATGTATTTATCATTCACTGGTTTTTTTTTTTTTGATTCTTCACTTGGAAAATTTTTCAAACTTATGTCTTATTTTAATTTACGCCCTATGCTATTGCAGAGGAATGGCTTCGAACAGCTTTGCATAAACTATGCAAATGAGAGACTGCAACAACACATCAATCAGCATTTTTTTAAACTTGGACGAGAGGTGAACATTTTAGACACACTACTGTTAAAACTGCTGAGAATGTATAATCTTAATATTTTAGACGTAGATCTATATATCAACTTATCAAGCATGTTTCTTGGGATTTTTTTCAGTAAGAAGTTTCTCGCAGTCATTAAGTAAGAGATCTTTGCCAAATGTTGGTAAAATAAATGTGTCATGCTTTTATTTTATTTGATCAATGGAAGAATCTGAAACTCTGTAATTTTTGAAACGGTTAGGGTCTCATTAGGTGTATGGGTGAAACTCTATAATTTTTGAAATGGTTAGGGTCTCATTAGGTGTATGGGTATTATGAAAGTTGTATTGGGAACTGAATATTTGCTTCCTCTTCTTGGTTTTGTATGGGAGCTGCCGAACACTTTAATTTAAGGTCTACGACAGGCTGTATGTTCAAGTCACGTTCTCTAGGATTTTTTTCAGTCTTTCAGTAAGATCTTTGTCAAATGTTGCTAACATAAAGATGATGCGCATTTTGATTTGATCAATAAAAAATAGGATATCTTCAAGTCTGTTTCTCTAGGATTCTTTCACTAATATCTTTGTCAAATGTTGCTAAACTAAGGGTTAGGTGCATTTTTATTTGATTAGTTCAATGATTTGAAACTCTGTAATCAGAGAACAGTTGAGTTCCTGATAGCTGAACTGGTAGAAGAAAGTTATATGGGAAACTTCTCGCAGGCCCTCTTGTTGATGGTTAGAAAAAAACAACTTTAGCCAATTTTTGGGGAAGACTATGCAGTATTGGAAACTGAATCCATGTAATTTTTGGGTTTCATGTGGAGCTGTAAATCTATTAGAAATTTTAGTTACTTTAGATTCTATCTTTACACCATATGTCAGAAATTTTCCTATTTTTGAGTTAAGATTTTTTTTAATTTAATTTGAGGGTATCATAATCTGGCAAACCCCCAGCCTTCAACGGGTTTGATATGCCTTTACCGATTACCGTTCGAATCGGGCTAGCATGCAGATTATTGAAATCCGTTCCTCATGTAACGTTATGCTAAAGGAATGAACTCCCTTAGACTTAATGCTACGACTTTGAATACATAGACTTTGCCCTTGTTACGGGAATAGGCTACCCGGCAACACGTGTTAGGTGTTGACTTATCCCTACGATTGTGTATCCCTGGTTGAGAAGTCCAAGTTAATTGAATGTCGATACACATACTACCAAGACGGTTTCTCTAGGATTTTTTCACTAATATCTTTGTCAAATGTTGCTAAAGTAGGGGTTAGGTGCATTATTTTATTTGATTAAACCAATAATTTGAAACTCTGTAATTAGAGAACAGTTAGGTTCCAGGAAGTTATATGGGAACTTCTCACAGGCCCTCTTCTTGATGGTTAAAAAAGCAACTTTAGCCAATTTTAGGAGAACACTGTGCAGTATTGAAAGCTGAATCTATGTAATTCTTTTGGGTTTCATAAGGAGTTGTAAAGCCACCTCGTCCCAAATTTCTATTAGAAATTTTAGATACTTTGGATTCAATCTGAACACGATATGTCAGAAATATTCCTATTTTTGAGTTAAGATTTTGTTAAAAAAAATTTGGGGGTATTATAACCTAAAAGCCTGCTGAATTACACATTTGGTTTTATTGTTTGTCCTTGGTTGAGGAGTCCAAGTTAATTGAATGTCAATACACATATTGCACTTAAAGTGGATGGTGCCGTGCTTCCTTTCAGTTGATATTTATATTGCTCAGTTTTCTATAATTCATGTTTTCTTGTTTGTAGGAATATTCCCAAAATGGGATGGACTGGACCAATGTTGATTTTGTGGACAACATGGAATGTCTAGAACTTTTTGAGAAGGTACTCCTTGTCATATAATAGCTTACATCTGAATATGGCTGAAGCTTGAAAATTAATTTCTTATTTTATGTTAAAAGGTTATGTGACGGTTAGTTCTAGTTGAAAATTGCCAAATAGGTTTTCTCATACCTGCGGGAATCTTTGGGAGAGGAATACTTGTAATATAGGAAACAGCAGAAAAAGTCCATATTCATACATACATACCCAGAATAATTATTGTGCTGTGAGGCAACCCCAAATGTGCTGAAATATATTCCATCTGTAATGATGATCCTCGTAGTGCTTTTCAGGTTGCCTTTAGGTAGTGAATGTGAGTATGGTGAGTGTCTTCTCCTGGATGGTGAGATTAACCTAAAAGCCTGCTCAACTGCATATTCAGCTATACATGCCTAAGATAAGTTTCTTCTTCTAGATGGCGAGATAACCTAAAGCCTGTTTTACTACACTTTAAGCTATGCATATAACTACACCATTCATAACAGTTTATAGAGGACTCTTTACTAATTTGATTCATGCTAAAGAGATAGAGCAGTATTTTCCCTTGTTCAATTATTATATAGTTACATGATAAGAACTAAAAAGTTTTCAATTTTGAGGGGTTATACTTGGACCACTATATAAACGGGAAAAGGCCTGTAGTTTCATGCTATCATGCAAGTCGCAGAAATGGAGATAGGTATCTTCATAGATGGATAAAGAATAGCTACTTTATTCATAGGCTTAGCTGGCTTTAACTAAGTTTTTTCTTACATGCTTTTGCCACTTTAATATGTTTCTTATACTCGTGTCAATTTATGTTACATAGGAAATGCATCTTTACTTACTTTTTATGCTTATGCCATTCTTTGGAGGCAAATGAAGTCCCATGCATCAAATTATATCATGGATTAATTACATTTTGGTACCTTGTGGTATAATGTAACTACATGGGTGACACTGAGGTTTGGGTATTTACACGGATAACCGTGAGGTTGCTAACTTGTCAACTAACACTGTTTGTTATTTTAGTAACATGTCAACTAACACAATATGGGAATTCCTAAAATACCTTTTTTACAAAGGTAGCTCTAATTAGTCCCTCAAATCTTCAATTACTCCGTCAAATCTTTAAAGTTGTTCATTAGTCGCTCACATCATTTTATAAAAGGGTTATTTAGACACTAGTCCTGCAAATCTTCCGTAATTCCATATTAGTCCATCAAATCTTAAGCAGTTTCAAAGATTTGAGGAATTAATATGGGTTACTAAAGATTTGGGGGACTGATTTCTAAAAACCCTTTCATAAAAGGATTTGTTTCTTAATAGGGTTATTTGCATATATACCCATAAATCATGGGTAAAAAATACTCCCCAAATCTTGGTATTTGCAAAACTATCACTCAAATCATCAACTTTGGGGGGAAAATCCCTAAAATGAACTAATCAACAACTTGGTGCTAAAGATTGGACTATTTTGTTGATAATTTTTATATTGCAATTACAAATTAGCTTATCAAAGTTGATGATTAATTGCTGAGGGTAAAATTTTCAAAATTGATGATTTGAGGGGTGGTTTTACAAAGGCTGAGATTTGGAGGTTTTTTTGCAACTACCCATGATTTAAATGGTTTATATGCAAATAACCATTCTAATAATTCATTCAACTTGTTTTAATCGCTGAACTTTGTACGGTCCCCTACATTCACTTAAACAACTTGGATTAAATCCTGCCAAATGATGAGAAAATTTTATTTGTATGAAAGGGCATTTTTGTCTTTTTCATATGCAAAGTTAAGCTCCATTAGACTTTCACATTGGGCATCAACCTCGGGTTACCCTTATAGATACCCAAGCCTCAGGGCACCCATGTGGTTACATCATAGTACCGGAATGTAATTAATCCCATCTTCTCCCTTCTACTTCCCCTTTCAGTCCATAAAAATGTTGGATGTTTTCTGTCTCCTTTCCCTGTGGAAGCATATATCTGCTGGAAAAGATTTACATCGTACTAAAGGGTACCACAATGTAATTAATCCCATCTTCTCCCTTCTACTTCCCCTTTCAGTACATAAAAATGTTGGATGTTTACTGTCTTCTTTCACCCTGTGCAAACATATATCTGCTGGAAAAGGTTTACGTGATGATTATGATGATGATGCTAAGTTTTGTTACAAAATTTTTAATACCTTACCATGAACATTTGATCTCTCTAAAATGGCAACAAATCTGAATTTTTATGCATACAGAAACAGATTGGGCTTTTGTCCTTATTGGATGAGGTGTCAGCACTTCCAAAAGCAACTGATATGACATTTGCAAATAAGCTTAAGCAAAATCTGAGCAGTAATGCCTGCTTCAAGGCAGAAAAAGGTGGTGCCTTCCGAATTTGCCATTTTGCTGGGGAGGTTCGTTCTTGCTCCTTCATTTCCCCTGTATTTGAATAGAGCTGGTCAAGTTTAAAGATGTTTCGCTGAGATGCATAAGTAACTTACTTTTAGAACTTGATTTATACGAGATATTTCAGGAATCTGCACTTACTCTGGAGAATATATTTTAAGCTAATCTAGTGGTGCGTAAAATCTTATTATAAATTTATGTGTTGACACGGTTCATGGGCAAAGTATTGTGCCATGGAGCTAAATATAAATTCTTGCTATTCTGCCTTTATTCACTTTTCTGCATAATGTACTATACAAGGCAGTGCTTGGGATTTTGTTTCTCTTATTTTTAAATTCTTTTAGTAATCTACTAACTCAAACTTTTAGTTCACTACTGTGAAATGTGTGAAAAGATGTTGCACAAATGTAAGAGTTGCAGTATAGGCTGAATGATTAAATGAAAGCTATCTTTTATGTAATAGACAAGGCAGTGATTGGGATTTTACTTCTCCTATTTTAGATTCTTTTAGTAATCTACAAATTAAAATTTTGAGTATACTAATGTTAACTGTGAAAAGATGTAAAGCAAGAGTTGCAGTATTGGCTGAATGATTAAATTAGAGCTATAAGTCTATAATTTAAATGGAAAGAAGAATATTATAATTTATTATTGGAAACTATAGGCCGGTGAAGACATTAGTAAATGAATATAGTATATGTGACGCTTTAGATTTTGGAAAAATACCATCTGGATATCTTGGACAAGAAATGTGTTCTGAGTCTGGTAACTGTACATATATAAAAATTGGGTGCATTTGATATCTTCTAAGAAGCAATTGTGCTATTACTCGTTTCAACTTTCTGTGCGTTCCAATAAATTCGGGGGCCACACAACAAAGTGCATAACTAGCAGAGCTTACTGTATATGACATATATTCACATTGTATTCTCAAGATCAAACAATGTGGGGGCTAACACTCTACTTTGATAACAGGTTTTGTATAATACAATTGGTTTCTTGGAGAAGAATAAGGATTCACATCATTCAGATTACATTGAGCTTCTTTCGTCGTGCTCTTGTCAACTTCCGCAGCTTTTTGCCTCCCGTATGCATAACCAAGTAAGCCCTTTCCTGAAGTTAAATGGAGCTACACAGCAGCAGAGTGTTGGGACGAACTTTAAGGTATCTCCAACTTGAATTATAAATTTTCTAACGTGGTACATTAATACTCTGCTTTGTCCTGTAGCTTTAGTAGATAGTAGGATACTGTTCAGATACACATCTATTTAGTTCATGAGCTTTGGATGTTGCTCTTGGTGTACTTCCTGCTTTGCAAGAATTATTTGGTAGTACCCAAAATTGTCTTAAGGTTACCACTGTGCTTCCATTAGAAGTTTTCAATTCTTTTTGGTCCATGATATTGAAATACGCATATATCCGATTCTGACATACATCACCATGGGCGTTTGATGGTCAATATGATTTATAGATATTTGATATGCTTTTAGGATCAACTTTTCAAGCTGATGGAGCAGTTAGAGAGGACCTCTCCTCACTTTATACGATGCATTAAGCCAAATGGACAGCATCTTCCTGGACTGTATGAACATGATCTAGTTTTACAACAGCTTAGATGCTGTGGAATACTGGAAGTTGTTAGGATGTCAAAGTTAGGATATCCATCTTGGATGACACACCAGCAATTTACTGAAAGGTAATTACTGTCTTCCTTATATCTGAAGTTTCAGTAATATCTGTATTCATACAACTTCTTGAGAAACCCGTATCTTTCCTTCAGGTATGGTTTTTTTCTCTCGCGAAATGTTGCATCTCAGGACCCACTCAGTGTTTCCGTCAACATTCTTGAGCACTTCAGTGTCCCGCCTGACACATATCAAGTTGGTTATACGAAGATATTTTTCCGCAGTGGACAGGCAATTTCCGTTATCCATTTCTGTTATTTTTATTTCTATCCACATTTGGTCTCTCTCTCTCTCTCATGCACGCACGCACGCACGCACACATACTCACATGATGGCTCATGTATACTAGATATTCTGGGATTTGTGTAGTTAATTAAACTGTTAAGTTTCCCTGGGAACATCATCTTGGGTTGGATACCTTCCTGTTTACTGGATAATTCTCATGGTCATAATGTTGATTCAAATTCATGGATATTATTCTCCAAACATGCGTACAATCACAATATATATTTTTCTTTAGGTAGACAAGCAAACTGTTGATTTAGTAGTGTGATTTGGTAGTGCCTTCTTCTTTATTGGATAGTTATCATGTTCATAATGTTCGTACAAATCCCTGGATAGTATTCTCCATACAGACGTACAACCATAATATATATCTTTCATTAGGGAAACAAGCAAACCTGTTGGTGCGTGCTTGCTAGAATTGGAAACCTTGTGACTTCACATAAAAAATTGTTTGTGATTTCTGTATCAATTGAAATATAAAATCAGCAATTTCCTTGATGGGAATATGAATCTATAGCCACGAGACAGTGTAAGAGTTTCATTCAACTTATCTTGTCTGGGCTTCCTAGGAACTTCTCATCATTAAGTTCTATTGAAGGCGTATGTAAACGGGCCCATGGTAAATGGTGCAAAATAGAATGTGTACAGTGGATCTCTTCATCGACAATCCTGTTCTGATCGGGTTGCGTGCTATTGTTTCCAGTTTTTGGCATGATATTGTACGTGTGCATTACTTTTTCACAACTGCGCATTGGTCAAAGTTCTCTACCTCCGTTTGATAAACTGAAAAATGATAGCAAAGATCCTGGTCTCTGCTTGTGGAATCATCATATACAATGTCTCCTACTTTACTGAGAATCTCCCATTATTTCCTTAGCAGTCTTGAGATATTTTATATGTCCCACCTTGCACTCAAAAAAGATTTGTCATTGGCTCAACAAGTGTGCCAGGAATTTGGGGAATACAAAAGTTCACTTTTACCCAAATCCAGTACCGAATCCCAAAGCAAGTTGGTAATTTTTCCATCTCCAAGTTGTTTTGGTTTGTTGGTTGTAGGAATGCTACGATCAGTTGTGCTTCTGCTCTTGAACCTAACTCAGCAAATATTTCCACAGTTTCCATATTATCTCTCTTATTTTGTTCTCATAGTTGCCAAAACATTTAGATAAGCACAGCCATGATGTTTTCTAAACATTACCAACGTTTCTTGAACCTTTCATTTTTCCTCTTATATGAGCATTGCATTTAGACAGTCCACTTGTTTTTGAAACTGACATGCTCTTAATATTTTTAATATTGGCCATTGTTTCCTTTTCTCAACATTGATGTTCATTTGACAATTAAGTTTTTGTTCTCACTGATTTCTCGTTGCTTGCATGTTGTTTTAGATTGCATCGCTGGAAGAAGTTAGACACCGGACTCTGCAAGCTATTCTATGTGTTCAGAAGCGATTTCGTGCTCTTAAAGTTCGTCGTCATTTTCAAGAGCTCAAGAATGGAGTTACTATGCTGCAGTCATGTAATGCAATCTTAGTACCTGAATTAACAATCAGTTATTCCTTCCTAATTTCTTTTACCATTTGCAGTTATCCGTGGCGGGCTGGCAAGAGAGCACTTCAATGACCTTAAAAGCTTGAAAATGTCGAGAACCAACTATATGAGAGCTACAAGTGATCCTAATTTCAATATGCAGGAATTAGTGGTACGTCATGACATGAAAGCTTCCGTTTCAAAAGTCATTTTATTGCCATTCTAGTTTTTCTATTATCTTGAGTGCAAAGGTCATTAAGGCCTCCAGGTGAAGATCAATGCCACCGAAAATTTATGAGGATGATCTATAATGTTTTACCCCTTCTTCCCTCTCTATCAAGTAACAGAAATTTCTCTGTATAAGTCTACTCGTTTTGGCGCCTTTCGTAAAATTAGTTTCGATAATAGGAGACATACATCAGATGGAAAAAAAATCTTGGCCAGATCATTCATAAAATTATAAGTTTAGTCTATTGTAAATGCTATTAATATTTTGCCTAACATTCACAAACATTTATGAGGACAATCTATACCGCCTTCTCCCTTTTCTCGTGTTAAAATGAGTTCATACTCATATTTTGTTTATGTTCTTTCTTTATTATGACAATATCCACAGAGCTTATGGGGTTTCATGAATGTACTTTATAATGGTAGGAAACAAACAAGGAGCAATGTCAACTAGCACATGCAGTTGATGAAGATCTCCAAAGACGGGTTTTGAAGGCGGAAGCTGCATTGAAAATTAAGGAAGAGGAGAATCTCACATTGAAACAGGAACTCCAGCTATATAAGACAAAATGGTCTGATTACGAGGCAAAAATGAAGTCTATGGAAGAGTTGTGGCAAAAGCAGATGACATCGTTACAGGTAGATTTTGCTATCAGTTAATATCTGAAGTTGGATTCAGTCAGCAACTACATATTTTATGGATTCATCCAACCTGTTAGCCCAAAAATCTATCTGTCACACCCAATACTTATACTGAAGTTTATCTCCCTAATTCGTTAAGTCTGAGATTCTTTATTATTATTTTCACCTGCACGCCTCATATTTGGAGAAAAATATCAATGGCAAAACTTTTGTTATTAGTTCTTGTAAGTTGTGGCAAAAGCAGATGACATCGTTACAGGTAGATTTCGCTATCAGTTAATATCTGAAGTTGGATTCAGTCAGCAACTACATATTTTATGGATTCATCTAACCTGTTAGCCCAAAAATCTATCTGTCACATCCAATACTTATACTGAAGTTTACCTCCCTAATTTGTTAAGCTGAGATTCTTTATCATTATTTTCACCTTCATGCCTCATATTTGGAGAAAAATATCAATGACAAAACTTTTGTTGTTAGTTCTTGTAAGTTGTAACCATTATCCTGATCATTCATCAATTTATTTCCTAATGATGCGGTGTCCTGTGCAGATGAGTTTAGCTGCAGCAAAAAAGAGCTTAGCTGTTGATGACAGTGAAAGCCAACAAGGAAAACTTGAACCTCCACCAAATAACCTCTATTCTGATTGTGAAAATACATCTTCAGAGTTTCAAACACCTGAAGTCACACCGGCCAAACAACCTCGTGGATCTGCTGCGGTACTACCAAGAAACTCCAATGGCAATCACAATGCAGTTAGTCACATGGTAAAAGAGTTTGAGCAGCAAAAGAAGGTTTTTGAGGATGATGCAAAATTCCTCATTGAGGTGAAGGCTGGGCAGTCAGTTGCCAACATGAACCCAAATGATGAACTACAGAAACTGAAGGTGAGATTTGCTACTTGGAAGAAGGATTACAAGGTCAAGTTAAAGGAGACAAAGATGGAACTTCAGAAGCTCGGTAATTCCGAACAGGTCAAAACCCGTAAGAGATGGTGGAACTTAAGGAGCACTAAATAGTTTATAAAAATGGTATGCTGGCGTGTGAGATATGAAACAAGGAATCCGGAACTCCAAGAAGCTCGGTAATTTGGGGCAGGTCGAAACCCTCCGGAAGCACGGTGAACAAGGGAATAATAGATGGTTGCTACTTGCTTTATTGAAGTTCTTTGGTGTCTGAGATTTGAAGCAAGGAATCCTGAGCAGAATCAGATGGACTATACTTGACCATATGTTGGACAGTGGGGGAGCTATTAACTGTGTATATAATTAAAACGAGAGCTGTTAGTTTAGAGCGGCTTAGTTATGTGACATATTTATGTGATGCAATCTCCGGAGTGTAAATTGTAGAGGTTAGACTATGAATGCGGAGCGAAATTTCAGTCATTCTCTGAAATGACATTTGTACATGCAAACAAGGAAATGGAAAAAAATATCTATTTTACTTTAATGTTTTTTTTTACAATTTAAGTCTTGCTGAATGCTACAACTTCATCAGGATTCCTCTCCTGGTGCAGGTATTGTGATCCAAGAGTTGGCTTGATATATTCTCTTGAAGAGGAAGAAATTACAACTTCGTACCGGACTTCTATTTTGTTGGAACAATTACCTTATAAACAATACATTTTCTAGAACTTATTTATTTTTTCTGTAATTATTTGCAGAACAATCATCAAGAATGGTGTCAGAAAGTAGATGGAAATTTTAAAGTGTTACAACTTCTCTTCCAGTCACGGAGAAAAATCTGCTCAAACAGAAAGCAAGACAATTCAAAAGGTTCGTAAAGAACTTCTTTAATATCTTCTCTTATATTTCCTGTTTCTTATTAATTGCATCTGCTCATGTGATCAATCTCACAGTTTCTTGTTGACAAATGCTTCTAGTAATACTCTAATATGTAGCATTTTCAGAAATCATTGTTTCTTGGTGGCAAATGTTTAGAATTCTTTCTGGGAGTAATTGATCTTTATTTCCAACTAAGTTAAGAATTTTAAACTACTCTTGAGTCACAAGACTTTTTTAATCATTTATGTTGAAAGCAAGGATGTAAAGTTTAGGCAAAGTGCATTTTACGGGAAACCACTCCTTTGTTGCAATTTCTGAACCAATTATTGTTTTCTGTGGTTGTTTTCAGGCCAAAACTTCCAAAGGAGATACCGACTAGTCAGCATCATATGAAAGAAGTCAGATCCTCATCAATTACTTAAGAGAGAGAGGCTTGGCCGAACTGCAAAGAGAGACGGCCTAAAAGGTTGGACATAAATTTCTTCACATTTTATGTCATTTTACCTTTTTTCTTTGGATAAGTACAACCAACTGTTAGTGGAATAGGTGACTGATTATCTATTTATAACTAATTACCCAAGGATAGCATGATCATGATATGTTCACTGAAGTGTGTCATAATCCATCAAAAGTATAGACAAATTTACGTGTAGAATTCTTCACCTTCTTGTTTGTCTGAGAATCCTCTGGAGTTCCAGGAAAGCTTCAGAAACCATAGGCTTTCTGTACTTTATGGCATTTACAGAAGTAGTTTCTTTATTGTTATCTGCAGCATTTCAGAGGGATCTTTGTGCATACAGATTTATAGTTTAATTGAGGACAAATTTTCAAAACCAACCATTTTTTAACTTTATTTTCAAGAATCGACCCCTTTAACATTTATTTAGCATTTTCGATCTAGTTTCAGTCAGCTAGCTGAAACTAGTCAAACTAGTCGAAAATGCTAAATAAGTTGCAAAAACTTCACGGGATTGAGAATCCCGTGAAGTTTATCACAAAATTAATCATGTGGCTGATAAAAAAACTTTGTGAAAATAATTTAGCAAGCCTTAATTTCATCCTAAACTTTGCGGGGATCCTCAATCTCGTGAAGTTTTCGCAACTTATTTAGCATTTTCGACTCAGTTTCAGCTAGACTAGGTCGAAAATGCTAAATAAATGTTAAAAAGGTCGATTTTTGAAAATAAAGTTCAAATATGGTTGGTTTTGAAAAGTTGTCCTTAAATTGATGAATCAGATACTTTTGAGGCATTCATAATTTGTATTTAGTGGTCAGTCGTGAATATGTTTTTGACAACGTTTTTGCTTTACAAAAGCACAGCCTGTCCTCCAAATTAAACTTTGCTAGAGAATGAATATATATTTTTTGGGTTAATTGCAGTTTGATTCCTTGTATATCACCCAATTGCGGGTAAACCCCCTTAGTTCTATTGTTGCCGATAGAACTCCAGAATGAAAATTTGCTTGATCATACACTGACAATGAGAAACATTGGTCACATGGTTACCTGAAACATAAGAATGAAAGGATGATACAAATATGCACTAACAATGACACAAATATCTCTGATTTTCTGATACAAACTAAAGTTCATCACAACAACAATAATCTACAACGAATACCCTCAAGAGCATTTGATACACCGAAAGAGCTTAAGTAGGTTTAAGACCCCGGAACAAACTTGGTAGCATAAACCCAAGCATTGTTAGCAACGGGGTTATCAAGATGATCCAAAAGGTTCTCCAATGGCCCTTTTCCTGTCACAATTGCCTGAACAAAGAATCCAAACATCGAAAACATCGCCAGCCTCCCATTCTTGATTTCCTTCACCTTCAACTCCGCAAATGTAACCGGATCATCTGCCAACCCTAATGGATCAAAATACTGCCCACCTGGGTATAAATCATTACCACTTCCGACACCCGGTAGCCCATTAATACGAAAACCCTCAACTAAACCCATTAGCAACACTTGAAACCCTAGAACTGCTAAAATGCTCTGAGCATGAACCAAGTTAGGGTTTCCAAGATAGTCGAGTCCGCCCTCTGAGAATATTTGGGCTCCGGCCTTGAACCAGACAGGCTCTTTGAAGTCGACTTTGACCCATTTTTCGAGGACTTCAGGGGTTATGCATCCGAGGGCACCAAGCATGGCCCACCGGCCGTGGATGACTTCGAGGGCTCGGTTGCGAGCGAAGGCCTCAGGGTCTGCCGAGAGACCAGCAGTGTCCCAGCCGTAGTCACCTGGGAATTCACCGGTGAGGTAGGATGGGGTTTGGGCAGAGAATGGGCCTAGGTATTTTACACGGTCTGGCCCGTACCAGAGGTCATTTCCCTAGACAAAACATGAGATATGACATGAGAGGTTTAATCATTATTCCTAAACAGATATCTTTATAGTTCATCTGAACCAGGAGGGACTAAATGAAGCATAATTAATCTATTTGTCGTGGAATGGTTCAGCTTACTCTGGATTTTATTAAGGTTTTTTTTGGGATATTAGCACTTAAATAGCCCAAAATTCACACCATCTTTAACTTCGATACCCTGAACTTTTCTCTGCCCAAAAAGATTCAACTTTGATACACCTGTTTAGTAATTATAGCATATCAAAGTTGATTTTCCCCATAAAACAATGTGAAGCTTTTTGAACCTGGGGTATTTTGTTGGCCAGAGGAAAATTTTATGTATCAAAGTTAAAAATGGTGTAAACTTTTGGGGTATTAAGTGTAACCCTTTAATTTTTGTGATGGAAGAGGAAAGGTCCCCCAAGAAATGACAGGATGATGAGCTACGAGACATCTGATTTCTATAGTTTCTTGACCTTGTTTCACAATTGAACAGCCACAACTGTTTACGTGCAGAATACCATGTTGGAAACATTCTATTGCTTTGGTTCAGAGCTATTTTCAGACTGGAATAGTTGGCGTATTAACCACATTAAACAACTTTCTTTTCACTGAGTAATAACATATTATGTAATTTAACCAAATCGAAGAAATAAAATTTGAAAAGTACAATACCGTTAATAAAATTCATTTGTTTACGGTAAGAAGAAAGGGGACCTCTTAAGACAGGATAATATGTTTTCATTTTGTTCACAGCTGTATCTCATCAGGCTTACCATGGTGAATTTCCCATTGCCCATGGAGACCGCATCTCGGAGCGGGTTTGCGCCCGCTGGGACCCTGGTCTGGCCAAGGAATGGAGTTGGTCTAACAACGCTTGCTGCCATCTCTCTCCCCTTCAATCTGTGAAGTTGATGGTCTCTGTTGATTTTCTCCTCTCCCTCTCTCTGTGGAGTGATGGTGTATGTTAAGTACCGCAGGAGAAGCGACGGTTTGTGGTGGAGAATGTGAAGGGAATTGTTGGTGTGGTGGAGATGAGGGGGGTTTATTTTCAACCAATGAGATTGCTCCAAAGGATTTTGGACTCTCCAACTGTTATCTTCTCATCTGGACTTTTCTGGGTGTACACATCTTTCTTGTGTTAGATCAGGATCCAGTGGCACTAATTAATCTTAAAGAGTGTTGTTGTTTTGGATGATTACGGTTGGTTATTAAGAGTCCCTGTCGGGAGGATCAAAATGTCCAGATGAAGTGCAGGAAAATTTGACAAAGGATCCTTTCCACCACACAAAACTAAAAGTTGTGATGAAAATTGAGGATTATAGTCTATAAAATATAACACACGCCGTTGCAAGCTGAGTTCTTTTTGATGGGCAGAAATCCGGACGGCGGCTATTTTTTCACTAAATTGAGAACTCTGAAGTTACAGGGATACGGTTGTATACTGTCAGGTTATGAGTCTAAAGTTACAGGGATTTCATGTTGTCTGAAAGAATGTTGCTGTAACCACTTTGATTTCTAAATATGAGGGGTCTGATTAATTGAGACTGTTATTGACATGTGTGTTATTTGTCAAGATACTACCTTACTCGTAAGAGTACTTGCATTTTCACAGGGAAGTTTTTAGAGGTTAATCTCACATTAGCCCCTGCAATATGCGCTTTGAAACTTATGGCCCCTGTATCATCATTTTGACAAAGATAATTTTTTTTTTTAAAATTTTTTTTAATCAAATAACACTTTTATAGAATTTCTTGTAGGCTATAAGGAGATGAGAAATAATGAGTACTTTTATGAAGATCTTCTACAATTTAGCACGAATGACATTTCTTGAAGAGGCCAGGTGTACCTTAGAGATTGGTTTCTGCAACTAAACATGCATCGGAAGAATTATCTAAACAGATCAGAACTTTGACTTGAGCAATTCGATGCAGAACTATTTTCCTTGAAAATTTTTAGGGGGAAATGAAAAAGATAACGAAAAGCTCTTTTATTGCTCAAATTTTAATATAAATCCTTTCATATCCTTATCTATGAGAGATTAGTTAGTTAAGAGATGAATAATGTGTGGACGTAATTTTCTTTTATTATTTTAGGTGTTTGTTTTATCGAAAGCGTAGGTAAGAGTAAAATGTAAAAATCTTAATGCAGATTCAAGTTTCCCCAGGAAATTGAGAACGTCTCGTATAAAAGTGAAATAGAGGAGATCAATTTTAACTAGAAATATCTAGGATTTTTATAATACTAAGACTCTCGGATCTTCTCTATTTCAATATTAGACCCCAACATCTTGGTATTTTCAACAAATCTTTTAGTCTCCATTTCGTAAAGGGTTAATGATGAGAGATTAAGGAGCAGTTAGCCCATTCGTTAACTCGGAGGTTAAGTTTTTTAATCCGTTAGGATATTTTATTTTAATCCTAGTGACTATTTTTTGTCTTTTGGGAAATAAAAAGGGGTTATGAACACTTCTTTATATAAACAGAGGGGTTAGTGCTTCCTCCGTCTAAATAGATGGGTTTGTGAACCCCTCGTTTTGAGGAGTTAACCACTTTAACCCTCTATAGGAATTTGTAAACCCTTACTATTTTTTGTGTTTAGAAAATTATAAGGAATTAACTCAGTTTGCACCCTATGTAAATTTTTGTGTTTGGCAAGCTAATGAGTGGTTAGCTCTCCTTAACTCCTCACTTAATTCTTTAACAGAGCCCCGTGAATGATTTACATTCAAATTCTTTAACTAAGTATATTGTTAACTCGTAACTATATAGAGTAAGTTACAATAATACCATAGAAGTCCTATTTATAAGGATTAAGAGATAAACCCTTTATTTATAAAAAAAATCAAAATCTTTATTATCCCCAAACAATAAAAATGATCACAAGGATTAAACTAAATTTTACTTAAGGGGTTAATAATTTAATCCTTCAATTTATCCAATGGGCTAACTATCTTAACTCTTCTTCTTAATCTCTCGTCCTTAAGCCTTTGTCAAACAGGACCTAAAGGATTTGCAGGTCTTATTTAGAACTACCAAAGATTAAACTAAAATTTACTTAACGGGTTAACAATTTAATCCTTCAAGTTATCCAATGGGCTAACTATCTTAACCCTGCTTCTTAATCTCTTGTCCTTAAACCTTTGCCAAACATGGCCTAAAGGATTTGCAGGTCTTACTTAGAACTACCAAGATTTTAAGGCCCCGTTTGGCAAAGGGTTAATGAAGAGGGGTTAAAGAGAAGGATTAATGTACTTAGCCCTGAAGAGGGGTTAAAGAGAAGGATTAATGTACTTAGCCCATTTGATAATCCGAAGGACTAAATTATTAACTCGTTAAATAAGAGCCCATTTGATAATCCGAAGGACTAAATTATTAACTCGTTAAATAAGTTTTATTTTAGCCCTTATGATCGGTTTTAGTGTTTGGGAATAACAATGATTTTGATTATTTTCTTTATAATTAGAAGGGTTAACTTTTATTCCATCTAAATAGGAGTATTAGTAAACCCATCATTTTAAGGGGTTAACTCATTTTAACCCCTCTAGAGGGGTTAACTTAACCCTTCTATATTTTTTATGTTTGGCAAATTATGGAGGGTTGTTTGTGGGAAATTTTGTAATGATGAAAGAACTGTATCTGATTTTATTCTCTCTAACTGCTTAGAAAAAGAATGATTACAACTCTCTCTACTCTCGATTACAATTGAATTTCCTGATTACAAAAGAGAAGAGAATGATCTAGATTCTCCCATTTGTTTAAAACTGGGTTTTTCACGGTGGCGATGAGATGCCTCCCTCGAATGCTCGCGTCGAGTTTGCTTCTCGTTGACGATCCGACGTCTTGTTTCACTGGAACATGATCTTCTCCTCACGACTTGACGTTGTGGAGAACTTGCGTGGCAAGTTTTAGAACTCTTGATGAGTTGATTGATCTTAACCGTAATTGGTTAGACAAGCCGAAGATCTCTTCTTTGCTGCCAAGGAGAGGGATCCAAAAGTCAGCCCCAAAGATCCAACCTCTGTTGCTGCCAAGAAGTTCCAACAGATCCTCCCTGAACTGAATTGATTTTTAGTTATTTATAGGGGATTAAGGGGTTTTACCACCTCCTTAATTCGCTCCTAAGTGGGGCTAATGTGATGTAACCGCCCCTTTAAATCACTCCTGAGTGGAGTTGTGATCCCCTCAGATCGTGGGAAACAGTTTTAAAACCGTTCAGCTCGTGTTTGAACGAGTCAAACGCAAAATCCATGTTCTGATGTGAATTCTGTGTTCAAACGCAGTGTTTGGAAGCTCAGACGCAGCAATTTGGAAGATGCGTTAGCATCTTGTTGAAAGCTGCGTTTGGTAGCTTGGGAGCTGCGTTTGGCAGCGGATGAAAGCTGCGTTGATAGCTTTCGGAGACTACGTTTGTGGCCGAACATGAAGTGCGTTTGCAGCTTTTGGAGCTGCGTTTGCGGCCGAACATGAGCTGCGTTGGCGGCCGAATCTGAGCTGCGTTTGCAGCTTTTGGAGCTGCGTTTGTAACTTTTGGAGCTGCGTTTGAGCTGTGTTCGTGGCTATGAACGCGACGCATCTGGATGCTGGTATGCGGGGAGGACTTACACGTCTTGATTTGAAGAGACCGTCGATTTGTAGTCTCTTTCTATCGAAGTTTTGCAAAGATCGTCATTTTGTAATCTTTACTTTAGCTCTTTGATATGCAAGAGTCGTCAGATTGTAACTCTCGATGTAGCTTCCATCAGTTGTCGTGAAGGTCGTCAGATTGTAGCCTTCTACGTGAAAGTCCTCAAATTGTAGCCTTCTGGAAGTCGTCAGATTGTAACTTCCATCATCGGTGTTTTGATGGGGATCAGCTATCTATTGTGATTTTTAGACAGCCTACAGAACCCCCTCCAAAGTTTTCGAAAGTTCGCGGTTGACTGGGACGAATTTTCGGAATACTTTGGATTTCACCTCTGATCTTGGAGCTGTTGATTCCTTGTTGTAAAGGATTTGTTCTCTGCACTTGCTTCGAAGGCATCTTGGTTAAGGGATTTGCCACGTAGGACCTGTGTGAAGGTATGCGCCATAATCCTGCTTCTGGAATGTGGGGGTGGACCCTGCATTTTGAGCTTGAGATGCGGGTCTCACCCTTGCATGTTGAATTTGGAACACGGGTGTGACCTCGGCATTTGGTTTTTACATCGCGGGTCTGACCTCAACGTTTTGACTTAAGACATGGAAGTGACTTCCGTACATTTTTGACTAAGTCTTTAAAACTTGTCTTTGGCTCATCTGTTTTAAGTCTTGGCTCACATCCATTAAGCTGATGGACCTGCAAACGTGCATAGGATTTTTGGCAAACCCTCAGCCATCAACGGATTTGATAAGCCTTTACCGACTACCGTTTGAGTCGGGCTAGCATGTGGATTGTCTAAGTCCGTTCTACATGTAACGTTATGCTAAGAGAATGAACCCTCTTAGACTTGATGCTATGATTTTGAATACATAGACTTTGTCATTTTCACGGGAAAAGACTAACCGGCAACGCGTGTTAGGCTTAGGCTTATCTCTAATTAGGGATCGAGATAAAGTCCCCCATGCGTGTGAGGCATGGATTTTGATGTCCTTTCACGGTAAAAGACTAACCGGCAACGCGTGTTAGGCATAGAATTATCTCTAATTAGGGATCGAGATAAAGTCCCCCATGCGTGTAAGGCATGGATTTCGGTGTTATTAATAACAACCTGCCATGATGTTGAATACGTGGACTTTGTCGTTATTTCTTCCTGTGTTACTGAAAGAAAGTTAGAAACGCCAGAGGTGTAATATTAACTTGGCATGAATTTTTACTTAGAATAAACACTAGGATAATTCTAGAAAATAATTAATCCGCTGGGGATTTTATAATGAAAATTTGCTATTCTTGTTGAAAAAAGATTAACAAGTTCATTGAGGGGTTTGACTGTTAGAGGTGTGATG